AACAAACTTTACCATTACTTTTTATTTGATATTTATGACATGGTATACTGATTTAATTTATTTTTTCACCTACTATAGTACTGACATTTTTCTCAAATTTGCAACAATCATTACTTCTTTCTTTGATTTATTTTCCACATACTATACGATTACTTTTTGTTTTTTGTTCAACATAAGCACTTTTTTTATCTACGTTGTGGACATACTAAAGTATTTCATTTTTCTGAAAAACTTCACTACATGTTTTTTCCATTTATTTTCCCACGTACTACTACGACCTTTTTTTTAATTTATTTTTTAATGTGTTGACATTCGCAACAAGTGTTTTTAACATTTTTGACATACTATTATGTCTATGACTTTTCAGATTTCTTTGACAAACTTTGTACGTCATTTTTATTTTATTTTTTACTATGACCCTTAACAAACTCAACCAAAACTTTTCTCTCGGACATTCAATACTATGACTTTTTATCAATATTTTCTCACGTCACACCAAGTTTATCGCGACATTGCGTCTAGAAATGGAGATATAATTCACAGCCACTCCCAGAAACATCTACTACGACAAAATAAACCAAGACTTTTCTCTCGGACATACTATGACTTTTTATCACATTTTCTCACGTCACACCAAGTGTATCGCGTCTAGAAAACTAGATGTAAATCCCAGCCACTCCCAGAAACGTTGCCTCACCTTCTTCATCGTCGTCATCCTCTCCTCCCCCGTCAGGATCCATGAACGTCCCCCCCTCTTCCTCCAGCTCGTCTCCGAAGTCTTCCTCGTCCATGGAGCCCAGAGAAACCTCCTCGTCGTCCAGGTCCGCGTCCGAGTCGTCGTCCGAGTCCGACGCCTCCGCATCCTTCTTCTTCTTCTTCTTGGCTTTCACATTACTGACAGAGAAGAGAATTATCAAATCAGTCCCTAAGGTTAAATAACAGACAAGTGTGTTTGTGTTTTCTTATTATTTAGATATTTATATCAACAATTTTTATTATTATTTAATTTAAATATTTAATTTCTTTATTATTGTTTTGTTTTTTTAAAGGCTGACAAAACATATCTGTGTGTGTAATTTAATGAGGTATGTGTATGTAAATATATATATATTAGGGCTGTCAAGTTAATAACGCAGGCACCGACTGGCCATCGGTAGGACCGGGAGGGTGTGTGTATGTGTGGCACGAGCGAGCAAGAGAGAGACCTTACGTGTATTGTTGTTGTTAGCATCTGGTGCTAGCTAGCTGCGCTAACGGATATAAGGAGCTGCTTCAATGAAAACAGAGGAGCGACATTTCGCCACAACTGCGCCGAGCACTTGACTTTATGCAGGAAGCCAGACAGTGGGACATTGTACGAAAAGTCAGCACACTCAGTGCGCAACATGCATCCAGGCAGCTCCCGTTCGAGCATATGCCTTGAGTTGCACATAGCGCCAACGATCCAACACACACACACACACACACACACACACACACACACACACACACACACCACACACACACACACACACACACACACACACACACACACACACACACACACACACACACACACACACACACACACACACACACACACAACACTACACACACACACACACACACACCACACACACACACACACACACACACACACACACACACACACACACACCACACACACACACACACACACACACACACACACCACACACACACACACACACACACACACACACACACAAGAGAGGTTCCAGGTTGTTGTGTTTAATATTCATGAGAATATTTGTCATTGTTCAAATGATAATAAACATTAGCATAAAGCGTATTTGTCCACTCATATGATACTAAGACTATTAAAAACTTGAAAAATATTCCTCTAAGATACATTTAGAACAGATAAAAAATGTGCGATTAACTATTTTAATCGACTGACAGCCCTAATATATATATATAAACTCCCCAAACAGGCGAAAACCTACCAGTTTCACCCACTGTCTCTGGCACCTCCCTCCATGCTGGTTCCTCCGGTTTGTATCCCGTTAATAGTTCTGGTCGTAAAGAACCGGGTGATTTGCTACCGTAATTTCTCGTTTGGAATATGAGGAAATGAACTGCGGTCTGGCTCTCCCTGCTTACACGCGGTTTGATTGGCTAGCGCTTCTACTGTCAGATTTGCATAAACGGGATTTGATTGGCTGACGCTTCCAGCTCAGCTTCAAAAGTTGAACATTGCTCAACTTTTGAATCCTGAAAATCCTGGAAATCTTCGCTTCGCTCCCCCACAATGCAGTTCGGCGAAAAGCGAGGCAAAGTGACGTCATCCCCATTCAAAGTCAATGGGCAGAGAAGCGTTGGAAGCGATGGAAGATTTGTTTAAAGCTGCTGTGTGGACGTAGAGTCAACTGATATTTCTGCAGTGCTGTGCATGTTGTTGGAAGTGCAAACAGGTCATTAATATATCAATAATAGATTGCTCACCCAGCGAAGTCCAGATCATCGTCAGCCATCTCCGTGAAGTACGAGTCTCCCTCGCAGGAGTCTGTTCAAATGAGAAGGTTAGAATAAATAAAAATTACACACAAGATTAAATACATAAAGAAATCAAAACAAAAACGTATTTAAGTATACATATATATTTTTAAATAAAGATTGGAGTTGCATTAATGAAAAACAAACAAGAATAATTGTCATTTTAAATTCATTTTGTAATACAATTATTCTCAAACGACTCTATTTGTAATGAGAAGCATCTTCTGGAGCTGATAACCAGTTCACCAAAAGAAAAAGGTTGCTTGGTCTAATTACCAAAATATTGTAATGTCTTGTTGGTTGGACCGTTATGTCCCTCACTCTGTTACGAGACATCCCTTCTGTTATTGTTTAAAGTTCATGAACATCGTATAAGATGCACCTAAAACTATTTAAAAAAGGACAATGAGAAGTAGAGTTTCAATGTTTACTGTTAGGGCAACTATTTCATTGCAACTGGTGAAATGTTCTCAACTGTCTTCTCAATAAAGAATTGTAAAAAGAAATAAACAACCATCTTCTGTATCTTCTGCAGTGCGTCAGCTTAAAGGTCCCCTATCATACTGTTCTTCATCAGTATCTCACAGGTCTCAGATATATCCAGAGCCGGTCTCTGATTGGCTGAAACACCAAACTGATCATTGCAGCATTACCCATAATCCCCTCTGTTTCAGCCCTGTTTCCAAAGTGCTGATTCTCTGTCTGTTACTTTAGATGAAAATAAGGAGCCCCTCTGAGAGAGACATGAAGAAGAGGGGACACATGTCGATGTAGAAGAGACATGAAGAAGAGGGGACACATGTTGATGTAGAAGAGACATGAAGAAGAGGGGACACATGTTGATGTAGAAGAGACATGAAGAAGAGGGGACACATGTTGATGTAGAAGAGACATGAAGAAGAGGGGACACATGTTGATGTAGAAGAGACATGAAGAAGAGGGGACACATGTTGATGTAGAAGAGACATGAAGAAGAGGGGACACATGTTGATGTAGAAGAGACATGAAGAAGAGGGGACACATGTTGATGTAGAAGAGACATGAAGAAGAGGGGACACATGTTGATGATAGAAGAGACATGAGAAGAGGGACACATGTTGATGTAGAAGAGACATGAGGAAGAGGGGACACATGTTGATGTAGAAGAGACATGAAGAAGAGGGGACACATGTTGATGTAGAAGAGACATGAAGAAGAGGGGACACATGTTGATGTAGAAGAGACATGAAGAAGAGGGGACACATGTTGATGTAGAAGAGACATGAAGAAGAGGGGACACATGTTGATGTAGAAGAGACATGAAGAAGAGGGGACACATGTTGATGTAGAAGAGACATGAAGAAGAGGGGACACATGTTGATGTAGAAGAGACATGAAGAAGAGGGGACACATGTTGATGTAGAAGAGACATGAAGAAGAGGGGACACATGTTGATGTAGAAGAGACATGAAGAAGAGAGGGACACATGTGGATGAAGAAGAGACATGAAGAAGAGGGGACCACATGTTGATGTAGAAGAGACATGAGGAAGAGGGGACACATGTTGATGTAGAAGAGACATGAAGAAGAGGGGACACATGTTGATGTAGAAGAGACATGAAGAAGAGGGGACACATGTTGATGTAGAAGAGACATGAAGAAGAGGGGACACATGTTGATGTAGAAGAGACATGAAGAAGAGGGGACACATGTTGATGTAGAAGAGACATGAAGAAGAGGGGACACATGTTGATGTAGAAGAGACATGGAGAAGAGGGGACACATGTTGATGTAGAAGAGACATGGAGAAGAGGGGACACATGTTGATGTAGAAGAGACATGAAGAAGAGGGGACACATGTTGATGTAGAAGAGACATGGAGAAGAGGGGACACATGTTGATGTAGAAGAGACATGGAGAAGAGGGGACACATGTTGATGTAGAAGAGACATGAAGAAGAGGGGACACATGTTGATGTAGAAGAGACATGAAGAAGAGGGGACACATGTTGATGAAGAAGAGACATGAAGAAGAGGGGACACATGTTGATGTAGAAGAGACATGAAGAAGAGGGGACACATGTTGATGTAGAAGAGACATGAAGAAGAGGGGACACATGTTGATGTAGAAGAGACATGAAGAAGAGGGGACACATGTTGATGTAGAAGAGACATGAAGAAGAGGAGACACATGTTGATGTAGAAGAGACATGAAGAAGAGGGGACACGTGTTGATGTAGAAGAGACATGAAGAAGAGGGGACACATGTTGATGTAGAAGAGACATGAAGAAGAGGAGACACATGTTGATGTAGAAAGAGACATGAAGAAGAGGGGACACATGTTGATGTAGAAGAGACATGAAGAAGAGGAGACACATGTTGATGTAGAAGAGACATGAAGAAGAGGGGACACATGTTGATGAAGAAGAGACATGAAGAAGAGGGGACACATGTTGATGTAGAAGAGACATGAAGAAGAGGGGACACATGTTGATGTAGAAGAGACATGAAGAAGAGGGGACACATGTTGATGTAGAAGAGACATGAAGAAGAGGGGACACATGTTGATGTAGAAGAGACATGAAGAAGAGGGGACACATGTTGATGAAGAAGAGACATGAAGAAGAGGGGACACATGTTGATGAAGAAGAGACATGAAGAAGAGGGGACACATGTTGATGTAGAAGAGACATGAAGAAGAGGGGACACATGTTGATGTAGAAGAGACATGAAGAAGAGGGGACACATGTTGATGTAGAAGAGACATGAAGAAGAGGGGACACATGTTGATGTAAAAGAGACATGAAGAAGAGGGGACACATGTTGATGTAGAAGAGACATGGAGAACTGGATTTTAGGTGACCTTTAAACGACTTCTATCACATCTTCATTAAGTGTTTGTCTCACCGAGCATTTTCTCAAACTCCTCGTCGTCCACGTCCTCCACGCTCTCGTTGTCTCCTCGAGGCCGGCGGATCTTCAGCTGCTTCTCCTGGTGACGCTTCCTGAAGAAACTGGGGGGAAAAGTAAATAAAAACATTAAAAAAAACTTCAAAAATACAGTAAAATATTCTCACTAAAACTCACGAGAGGAAGTTCAAGCGATTATTGTCCAGGGTTCATACACTTTTTCACCAATGACTTTCAATGACTTTCAATGACATCTCCAGGACCTTTACCTAATTTTCCATGAACAAAAACATGACTCTCAGCGGTGCCACTGAAAATGGTTTATTTGAACAAGGTCTATGAAACATGTAGTGCCTATCTAAAATAAATCAAATAGTAGGTACTAGCTTCTACTAAAATCTCTCACCAGCAAAACACCTCGTCAGTTAAACGCCATTTTACGTTTCATTATACGATACAGTATTTATTATCATTATAGTATTACTATTTCGGCGATTAGATCAAATATAAATTATATTTGATGCAACTTTAGTTACATTTCCATGACTTTTCCAGGGCCTGGAATTTGCATTTTGAATTTCCATGACTTTTCCAGGTTAACATTTTAGTTTATTTGAATTATTATTATTTATTTTAAATAGTTTTTAAATATGATTTTAATGTCATTTTTTTTATTGTCATTTTAGAGTTTATTGTCATTTTAGAGTTTATTGTCATTTTAGAGTTTTACATGTGAATTTATTGTCAGATTTAGTTATTTATCAGCACATTTTCTTTGGTGTTTGAGGAGTACAACACACGTTAAAAGGGAATAAAACCCCTGCATGCTGTTCCCTTTACTTCTTCATGATTCTTTTTAGATTATATTGCATTTCTATTTGCAGCTAAATATTATATTTATAGAAATGGGTTCGATACCTGAATTTCCCAAAAGGTATAAATAAAGTAAATTATTTGTATCAATCATGAGGTTCTAAATAGTTTCTAACTCACCGATGGAAGAAGATTTCATCGACGGGGATCTGACTCTCCTCTTTAGTCAGGAACTCCTCACAGTTCACTGAGAGAGAGAAAGTCGTTTTAAAACAACATAAATAAACTACAGACAATGAGGTGAAAACAATTAACTCGACACACACACGTCTTCAAAAAACTCACCTGGAACAGATTTGAGAGGGAATCTCTGTTTGGGCGTCAGCGCGGAAGAATCTGTGTTTTCTGAGAAGAACAAAACATATAAATCCAGATATTAATATTTTTAACATCTCTAATTAATTCTGGCAATTCATAATAAGACACAATTTGATTAATGAAGCTCAGCGCAAGTTCAACCAGGAAGACCGTCTTTACTCATTCATTTACTATTTCCATGTTACTACTCTCTCAATAAGTGATCGGGGCTCCCCAGCTTAACCAATCACTTCGCTCTATTCCCACAAGCCTATCATAGCGCTCCGCTAACCCTTTTAAATCTGCTCTCCCCTCTGACAGCTGTCATTTCAGGTGACTCAACGCAACCCTCCTCCATCCCATTTCACCTCCTGTCCCTCTGAATCCAGGGTCAAGCTAAGCCACTCCCATTCAGACCGAACCCAACCATCCATTCACCACCACCAGGGTCAAGCTAAGCCCCTCCCCTTCAGACCGACCCCAACTATCCATTCACCACCACCAGGGTCAAGCTAAGCCCCTCCCCTTCAGACCGACCCCAACTATCCATTCACCACCACCAGGGTCAAGCTAAGCCCCTCCCCTTCAGACTGACCCCAACCATCCATTCACCATCACCAGGGTCAAGCTCCTCCCCTTCAGACCGAACCCAACCATCCATTCACCACCACTAGGGTCAAGCTAAGCCCCTCCCCTTCAGACCGACCCCAACTATCCATTCACCACCACCAGGGTCAAGCTAAGCCCCTCCCCTTCAGACTGACCCCAACCATCCATTCACCATCACCAGGGTCAAGCTCCTCCCCTTCAGACCGAACCCAACCATCTATTCACCACCACCAGGATCAAGCTAAGCCCCTCCCCTTCAGACCGAACCCAACTATCCATTCACCACCACCAGGATCAAGCTAAGCCCCTCCCCTTCAGACCGAACCCAACTATCCATTCACCACCACCAGGGTCAAGCTAAGCCCCTCCCCTTCAGACAGAACCCAACTATCCATTCACCACCACCAGGGTCAAGCTAAGCCACTCCCCTTCAGACAGAACCCAACTATCCATTCACCACCACCAGGGTCAAGCTAAGCCCCTCCCCTTCAGACCGAACCCAACTATCCATTCACCACCACCAAGGTCAAGCTAAGCCACTCCCCTTCAGACTGACCCCAACTATCTATTCACCACCACCAGGGTCAAGCTAAGCCCCTCCCCTTCAGACCGACCCCAACTATCCATTCACCACCACCAGGGTCAAGCTAAGCCCCTCCCCTTCAGACCGACCCCAACTATCCATTCACCACCACCAGGGTCAAGCTAAGCCCCTCCCCTTCAAACCAAACCCAACTATCCATTCACCACCACCAGGGTCAAGCTAAGCCACTCCCCTTCAGACCGACCCCAACGATACATTCACCACCACGAGGGTCAAGCTAAGCCACTCCCCTTCAGACCGACCCCAACTATCCATTCACCACCACCAGGGTCAAGCTAAGCCACTCCCCTTCAGACCGACCCCAACTATCCATTCACCACCACCAGGGTCAAGCTAAGCCACTCCCCTTCAGACCGACCCCAACGATACATTCACCACCACGAGGGTCAAGCTAAGCCACTCCCCTTCAGACCGACCCCAACTATCCATTCACCACCACCAGGGTCAAGCTAAGCCACTCCCCTTCAGACCGACCCCAACTATCCATTCACCACCACCACCAGGGTCAAGCTAAGCCACTCCCCTTCAGACCGACCCCAACTATCCATTCACCACCACCACCACCAGGGTCAAGCTAAGCCCCTCCCCTTCAGACCGACCCCAACTATCCATTCACCACCACCAGGGTCAAGCTAAGCCCCTGCCCTTCAGACCGACCCCAACTATCCATTCACCACCACCAGGGTCAAGCTAAGCCCCTGCCCTTCAGACCGAACCCAACTATCCATTCACCACCACCACCACCAGGGTCAAGCTAAGCCCCTCCCCTTCAGACCGACCCCAACTATCCATTCACCACCACCAGGCTCAAGCTAAGCCACACCCCTTCAGACCGAACCCAACCATCCATTCACCACCACCAGGGTCAAGCTAAGCCACTCCCCTTCAGACCTAACCAACTATCCATTCACCACCACCAGGGTCAAGCTAAGCCACTCCCCTTCAGACCGAACCCAACCATCCATTCACCATCACCAGGGTCAAGCTAAGCCCCTCCCCTTCAGACCGACCCCAACTATCCATTCACCACCACCAGGGTCAAGCTAAGCCACTCCCCTTCAGACCAACCCCAACTATCCATTCACCACCACCAGGGTCAAGCTAAGCCACTCCCCTTCAGACCGACCCCAACTATCCATTCACCACCACCAGGGTCAAGCTAAGCCACTCCCCTTCAGACCGACCCCAACTATCCATTCACCACCACCAGGGTCAAGCTAAGCCCCTCCCCTTCAGACCGACCCCAACCATCCATTCACCACCACCAGGGTCAAGGGGTTCATCGGATCGGTTCTCCCCTCACGAATGATACTCCTGCACAACGGGTCCTAATCGGCAAAACTCCATTACATTCATTTGTGTTTTCCTGGCAATAAATATGTATTCTTTCATCAGAACCGTCTCTCCTGATTGAACTGAAATTGTCTGCTTTAGTTTAATGCTTTAATCTGCATGTATGTTGTGTGTTTTAAGGATAGATATAGTTATATAAATAGTTATCACCGCAATAAACCATATTTAATTTCGTCTTAATGTACGTTATTTAATTTCATATTCTGTTCTTGTACATATCATATTCTATTTACATGTATATAGACTTCTTATACTATTTTGTATTTGTATTTTATTATATATATGTTGCATTGTTGGAGGAGCTCAGGTCAGAAGAATTTCATTGCCCTTTCTACGCTGTAGCTTACATGACAATAAAACCTTTGAATTGAATTGAGTTGTTGTTATTACGTTTTCCCTTCATCTGTTTTGGGTTTCTGAAGACGAAGCGGTCGAGGAACCGGATCAGAGTGAAGTCCTGCAGAGGGTCTCCGGAGTAGAGGATGGAGCCGCCCTGAGGAAACAACGAGGAAACTGTTGGGAAAATCCTGAATGTCCTCTTCCAGTATGAGAGTAACTTGATAACAAAGGTATCAACTGTAGCTGTGAACATGACAGGATGTGTGATTACCTAGAAGAGCATCAGGACTGTTTGAGGCAGATGATAGCTATGTGATTAACATGATGGTTCAGCCTCTATGGAGAGAGACATCAAGCATGCTCATTTCTGACGTGGAGCTAATCTGAAGTAAACATTGAATACTGCTTTCTATTCCTCCATCTTGTGACTGTGTAACTCCCTCTCTTGGATATCAGCATGTGAAGGACACTGTTCAGGAACTAGTTGATGCTCTGTATGTGATGACTCCTTCCATTCTGGAGAGGATCACAGATACATGGATCCTGAGATGAAGCTCAAGTTGGTGACGAGTGAGAGTTTACTAAAAGCAATGATATCTGGATTTTGAGATTTTGAGAAAAAGTCATAATTTTTAGATTTTGAGAAAAAGTCATATTTTTTAGATTTTTAGAAAAAGTCAGAATTTTGAGATTTTATGAAAAAGTCAGAATTTTGAGAATTTGATATATAAGCTATTCTGTATGTGATGACTACTTCCATTCTTGAGAGGATAATAAATACATGGATCCTGAGATTGAAGCTTAAGCCGGGGACCAGTGAGAGTTTACTAACAGCAATGATATCTGGATTTTGAGATTTTGAGAAAAAGTCAGAATTTTCAGAATTTTGATATATAAACTGTTCTGTACGTGATGCCGGGGACCAGGGAGACACGTAAAAACAGAAACATTTATAAATAAATAGTAAGATAATCTAAATGCAAAAAGAAGTTGTGACTTTAAGTGTAAAGGTTTTACCTCCAGGATGGTTTTTGCAAACAGCGACACGGACGGATGGAAGTGAGCGGCGAGCTGCAGGGAGACGAGACAAAAGAAAATAGCTTAGATGTGAAAGGTCAAATGACCTTATGATGAGATATCACAGTGAACAGAAGCTGTTGGCAGGTTATTTTTCATCTGTTGTCCCTGCTGGACAGATTATGCTAATTAAATAACTAATTGAAATGTTAAAGCCATACATTGCTGTGCATGATATTTAGATGGTTAATACAACTTGTTTTATAGTATGATGCAATATCAACGTTTCCATGTATCCAAGCTAAATTAATGTCATACTATATTTTCTAAAAATGTTAAAACTCTCACAAAAACACTTAGTTTTTATTGTGATTTATTTAGTGCTCCTCACCCTCTGTAGCTCCCACAGAGTCGTGCGGTCGGCGCCGCAGAACAACGGGTTTCTGTGTAGCGGGTCGTAGCTCTGGATGCTCTTTCCTCCTGGAGAGACAGAAACATCAACATTAAAGAACAACAACAGCAACAACAACAACAACAAGGAACATCCAAGAAACCACAGCAAAAATACAACATTTTAAGAATATGTTTTTTGTTCTTGGAGAGATTTTACACCTGAGAAAAGTTATCTTTTTCATCCACATCTGCTTAATTGAAGGAGCTGTGTTCTGCTTTTTGGAGGTCTTCCCTTTCCTGTAGTGTATCTATTGGTTTTGGTGCATGTAAATGGTCTGCAGAGGCTCAAATCCCTGGGTTTCTCTCCCACACATAAATCACTATAACACAAATGTAGTTTATGAATCATAACCCTCTCACACACCTTCCAGGTTCTGGTGGTGTACCCATGATGCACTGGGCTTCGCCTCCTTTGGCTCTGCACTCGCTTCTTCCTCCTTTGGCTCTGCACTTGCTCCTTCCTCCTGCTTGTCTGCGTCCACAAAGCGCTCCTCTTCATCATCCTCCTCAGCGAGGTCTTTGAACGCCTCCTCATCCCCGTCCTGAGGGAACACAACGGGAAGAGATGCTAAAAATGTATCATTTACTAAAAAACAAATCACTTCAAGTATCGTTGAGATTGAGACACACCAGGAGAAGAATAAGGAATAGAAATTAACTATTCATCTTTTCACACTTGAATCTATATTTGTAGGACTGACAATCAAATCTCAGATACTTATGTTGTATGTGTGTTGCCAACGACTTTACAAAAAAGGGATAATTACGTAATCTGGATTTTCTGGTTTTCTTTGTTTGACATTTGGTCACCATTTCTATTTCTATTTTATTGTATTTACTTTATTGTTCCATGTCCTACACCACATGTGTCAAACTCAAGGCCAGGGGGCCAAATCAGGCCCGTGGTGGATTTAATTTCGGCCCGCAGGATAATCTTTAATTGCCATTAGTGTTGTCACGATACCAACATTTTGGTTTCGATACCAAGTCAAGAATTGCGATTCCGATTATTTTCTTAAAAAAAGGGAAACCGTCTTAAATGTACTTATTGTGCTTTATTTCACACCAGAACCAGAACCATAACAGAAACGTTTAAACAATGAGAACAATAAATTAAATAAATGACTAGAATTTGTATTAAATACAATTAAGCATCATCTATAAACAACTTTTTTGTTTTTCGCTTCTGGCGTCTTTTTTGTCAACAAGCCGAGGCGCAGCGGCAGCTAGCGCTTGCACGAGAGAGGGGAGGGACTTAGAGCGTGCTTGAGAGGGGAGGGACTTAGAGCGTGCTTGAGAGAGGGGAGAGACTTAGAGCGTGCACGAGAGAGGGGAGGGACTTAGAGCGTGCTTGAGAGGGGAGGGACTTAGAGCGTGTTTGAGAGGGGAGGGACTTAGAGCGTGCTTGAGAGGGGAGGGACTTAGAGCGTGCTTGAGAGAGGGGAGAGACTTAGAGCGTGCACGAGAGAGGGGAGGGACTTAGAGCGTGCTTGAGAGGGGAGGGACTTAGAGCGTGTTTGAGAGGGGAGGGACTTAGAGCGTGCTTGAGAGGGGAGGGACTTAGAGCGTGCTGAGAGGGGAGGGACTTAGAGCGTGCTTGAGAGGGGAGGGACTTAGAGCGTGCTTGAGAGAGGGGAGGGACTTAGAGACAGTGAACGAGAGGGGAGGGACTTAGAGCGTGCTTGAGAGGGGAGGGACTTAGAACGAGCTTGAGAGGGGAGGGACTTAGAGCGTGCTTGAGAGGGGAGGGACTTAGAGCGTGCACGAGAGGGGAGGGACGTAGAGCGTGCTTGAGAGGGGAGGGGACTTAGAGCATGCTTGAGAGGGGAGGGACTTAGAGCGTGGCTTGAGAGGGGAGGGACTTAGAGCGTGTTTGAGAGAGGGGAGACTTAGAGCGTGCACGAGAGGGGAGGGACTTAGAGCGTGCACGAGAGGGGAGGGACTTAGAGCGTGCTTGAGAGGGGAGGGACTTAGAGCGTGCTTGAGAGGGGAGGGACTTAGAGCGTGCTTGAGAGGGGAGGGACTTAGAGCGTGCTTGAGAGAGGGGAGAGACTTAGAGCGTGCACGAGAGAGGGGAGGGACTTAGAGCGTGCTTGAGAGGGGAGGGACTTAGAACGTGCTTGAGAGGGGAGGGACTTAGAACGTGCTTGAGAGGGGAGGGACATAGAACGTGCTTGAGAGGCGAGGGACTTAGAGCGTGCTTGAGAGAGGGGAGGGACTTAGAACGTGCACGAGAGAGGGGAGGGACTTAGAGCGTGCTTGAGAGGGGAGGGACTTAGAACGAGCTTGAGAGGGGAGGGACTTAGAGCGTGCTTGAGAGGGGAGGGACTTAGAGCGTGCTTGAGAGGGGAGGGACTTAGAGCGTGCTTGAGAGGGGAGGGACTTAGAGCGTGCTTGAGAGGGGAGGGACTTAGAGCGTGCTTGAGAGGGGAGGGACTTAGAGCGTGCTTGAGAGAGGGGAGACTTAGAGCGTGCACGAGAGGGGAGGGACTTAGAGCGTGCACGAGAGGGGAGGGGACTTAGAGCGTGCTTGAGAGGGGAGGGACTTAGAGCGTGCTTGAGAGGGGAGGGACTTAGAGCGTGCTTGAGAGGGGGGGAACTTAGAGCGTGCTTGAGAGGGGAGGGACTTAGAGCGTGCTTGAGAGGGGAGGAACTTAGAGCGTGCTTGAGAGGGGAGGGACTTAGAACGTGCTTGAGAGGGGAGGGACTTAGAGCGTGCTTGAGAGAGGGGAGGGACTTAGAACGTGCACGAGAGAGGGGAGGGACTTAGAGCGTGCTTGAGAGGGGAGGGACTCAGAACGTGCTTGAGAGGGGAGGGACTTAGAGCGTGCTTGAGAGGGGAGGGACTTAGAGCGTGCTTGAGAGGGGAGGGACTTAGAACGAGCTTGAGAGAGGGGAGAGACTTAGAGCGTGCTTGAGAGGGGAGGCACTGCAGGCACGGCTGCAGTGCAGGGAGTGGAAGCAGAGCGCTGAACACACACGGCTCTTATTAAAAAGGCGCTTTCTCACCGGAGTACTTTCCCCCGTCATTCTTAAAGTACCGATACTAATGAAACGGAGGAATCGTAACGTTTTTAACGGCAGGGTATCGCGGTATACCTTTCAAGTATCGGTACACCGTGCAACACTAATTCCTATTAGATCTGGCCCGCCGGTATATTGCACGCACACCTTCACTCCATCCTGAGGGTCTCCTCCGCTCAGAGCCTGAGCCCAAACATTGATGACCTTGCACCCAAGATGAGATGCCAAGTATCTGAACTAGCATCTCAGAGCAGCACACTGAGCTTAATGGATGCTTCCTTCTGCACTTTCTCTCTCAGGACAACAGGACATGTTTGGTTTTCTCTCTGAGGGGAATAGTTTTGTTGAAGCTGTTGTTGGCCTGAGGGAAAATGTACTCATAAGAAATGACTCTGGAAAAGCTGCAGATAGAGCCATAAGAAATGAATGCACTGATTATTTAATGTTGTTTTTATATGCAATAATTGAAGCTTTGTTAGTTCCAGGTTTAATATGTGCAATAAATTCATTTCAATAAGTTCTGCAATAAACATTGAACCAGTCCGGCCCTCGACTAGTACCCATTTTTTTAATTTTGGCCCACTGTGAGTTTGAGTTTGACCCCCCTGTCCTATAGTCATGTTGCTCTGTGGGAGGAGTCTGTGACTTCAGTTTTTCATTGACTTATCTACACTGTAGCTGCTGTGCAAATTACAATAAAGCCTTGAATTGAATTGGGTATACCTTGAGCTTACATTTAAACAAAACACATAAATAATCCCAGCTCTGAGTTTTTCCCAGTGCTCAAAGACGCTTTACACACAATCAGAAACGGCACAAAGAAACCACGTCTTTGGTCCTCTCACCCCGTCCTCCAGCAGCAGGATCTTGAGAGCCGGTTTGCTCTTCATCACCTCGGACACGAGGAAGAGCGCTCCGCAGGTGAAGGAGGCGCTCTGCTCGGCGCTGACCTGCAGCAGGCGCTTCACAAACGCCTTCACACGACGGACCACTATGTCCGCCTTCAGGGATTTATAGAGGAGGTTCAGGAACATGCTGTGACGAGAAGAGGAAGAAAGACCGGGGTCCAGAAGCTTCCTGAGGAGGAGGAGGAGGAGGAGGAGGAGGAGGAGGAGGAGGAAAACAGACATTTAATATTCATTATATTATATTTCTGTAATCATTGAAAGCCCTGATGTTCCTGATTTCACGACTAAATGATGACTTTTCATATTAAAGTGTTTTCATCACCGAGTTAATATTAGTTCTTATTCATTAACGCACACTCTTGACGCCATCCTATGCTATGATTGGTCAGTCTATATTCGAGGGGCGGGACTTAGCAAAGGCTCTATATATACAAACTGTATTTGTCCCTCTCAAATAGGGTTGCAAAATTCCGGGAATTTTCAGAGATGGAAACTTTCCACGGGAATTAACGGGAATGTTCTAAATTGAAGGTTGGCTCTTCGTAGGGAACTTAAATATAGTTGGGGAAAGTATATTTTAGCATAATCTTGACTAAAACAAACAGATGCCATTCAAGTACACTTGAATATCCATGCCATAGCACACGGCTTACTGCATGGCTATTGAGACTAGGGGGCGATATTCCGCATTTGACCGATTATCGGTATCCGCCTTTTTTTTATCAAATTGCCGATAAAACTTTGGCTCTGATGCGGCCGTTTCTCTGGCTACAGTCACCACTCTGTACACGAGCAACGTCCCGCCCACAGCGCTATCTGATAGGCCATTACTGAAGATCTTCCGGGCGGGAGCCAGAGAGGCGGGACCTTCTCAGATTACAGGCAGGTGCAAAAGGACGCAGACTGAAGCAAGCAGCAGCGCTGAGCGGCAGAGCCATACACGTGTTAAACCGAAGTTCAATAAACATCCCAATCCCCTATGCTGAAGTTGCAAAAACACGATCTTATGATCCAATTCTATCAGTTTCCCAGTTACACAGGGACGCGGGAAGTCAGTCAGAGTTGGGGGTGCGTGCAGTGTCTCGCAGCGGAGTAACTGTGGTGCGGGGGGGGGGGGGCTGCGAGTGGAGCCTTGCAGTTTTTCAGGTTGATATGTGAAGCTCATTAGCTAGCCAACATGTATCTAGCAAATGTTTAGCAAAATATTAGAAGTGAGGCTACGAGACCAACGTTAGGTCTACTGTAATAGCCTCACTTTGAATAGTTTGCAAAACATTAGCTAGCACTAGTGTTTTGCAGTTGCTAGCAGCTTATTGGGATTGTATGCTAGATAGACAGATATAATAAATTAAGCATTATTGTTAGTTAAGCGTGTCAGCCTGCAGCCCCACTTCTTGTCTCTCTCTAACTCATTGCAGACGGCTGCACTAAAGAAAAGGGCACAGAGAGGAAACCAGTTGTAAGATGTTTAAAAGTTAATTAAACATAATATATGCTTAAATGCATGTCAAATAAGTTGTGTTGGAGTTTGTGTTATTGGACATTTTGACACCAAGATTTTCTGATTTTACTGCAAATGTATGTGTTCCAAATATCGGTTATCTGTCTCCTTGATTACTAATAATCGGTATCGGTATCGGCCTTGAAAAAGCCATATCGGTCGATCCCTAATTGAGAGCACACAAAGGTTCGTAACAGGCTCACAAATGTGAGAGTGGAAAAACTGGTTGGCATCCGGGCAAACCTAAGGCTCTCTGAGCCTGACACACAGCCATCCTCAACAGGCTGGACAGTGACACTGCAGAGGAAGAGGAAGAGTGTGATGTTGAAGAAGTGGACATGTTGTTGGATGTTGATGAGGCCCAGGCCCATTGACTGAAAGGCTTTAGCAAAAATGCAGAGGATTGCTTGAAGGAAGATTTGCTTGTTTGATGGGACTTTGTGGGTATTTTTGGATGGGGGTGCATTTTTGTTCATTTTTTAATGAGTGGGGTTGGGGGGGGGATGAGTAACATTTAACTCAACATTCCTGTTTTCGTTCTTCAATGAAACAAATAATTGTTCAATAAAATAATGAAAACTTGTTCTGTTCTACTTCAAAAATAAAGATCTGTTGAAATGTCTTGTTTTTTGTTAAATTTTGCTTCGAATATTTCCAAAATTCCCCAGCTTAACTTCCCATGGAAACTTTCTGGAAATGTTCCGCCCCTTTGCGACCCTACTCTCAAATACACTTAAAATGAAATAAAGTGGGATTTAATAGCCAGGTAAATGCATACAGGAGAATATGAAGTCACAGCAGTAAGACTGAGAACATGTCTGCATGAAGCACTTAGTGGATTGGTTTAGAAAGATTCATGTACCTGCAGGATGGTTGCTGCTTTGAGTTTGAATAATGCTCCGTGTTGTAAGTGTCAGCACAATGAAATGAAATGCAATGCTTACCTGTACAGAGCGACGTAGTATCGATCTGAGATGCTCTGCTGCGAGTCCATCACCTGGAACAGCAGCATGAGCGCCTGCACGGCCGTGTTGAACTTCACCAGGTGCACGACTTTAAACAGCGTGTCCAGCTGCTCCTTCACCTTCTCGTCTCCGGAGCCGGCGTAGGGATACGCCCTGTTCACGCCCGACAGCAGCGCGCTCAGCATCTTGGACTCGATGTCCTTCTTCTTCACGCAGGCGCGGAAGAAGGAGAAGTAGATGGTGATGAGTTTGGCGGCTAAATCTGCCTCGTCGTGGCTGAGCATCACTTGGCTGAGGAAGCACACGGCGTAATACTGAGCCTTGGGGTTGATGTTGGGTCGGAACATGAGTCTCTCCACCTCGCAGCTCACCACCGCCTTCATGTTGGGGTGTTTGTGAATCAGAGACTCCAAGAAATGGGACGCTTTCGCCGCCGTCTTGTACTCCGGATCGCCCAGTTTGTTGACCACCTGCATCAGGAGCGCTCTCTCTTGCTCCGGTCGACTGCACAACATCTCGTGAGCCGTCGCCAACGCTTTCGCTTTCGTTGCCGCGACCGTATCGTGAGCGACGGAATCCAACGCCGCCACAAACTCGGCGACGTGGTGCTTCAAATGGTGCTCGAAGTACCAGAGGATGAGTCGGCGATCTCGAGCGTCTCTGTTTCCGCTCGCCTTCTCCTCAAGTTGATCGAACGGGTGCTCGGCGAAGGATCGGAGCTTCCTGTTTTCCGGGAGCAAATCGGAGAGGAGAAGTTCCCGCAGAGTGTCCAACGCCATCAAACCCTGCCTCCGACTGCCCTTCTTCTTCACCATGGCCACCAGGTTCTCCACGTGCTCCAGCGTGTGCACCGGAGCGTCTTGGATCAGAACCGTCATGGCCGCCATCCTGTCAGCCAGCACACCGGAGGAAACGACCGTCTTCATCCAGTTGGAGTTGGCTCCTTTCTGCAGGTTCTTCTTGCTTTTGTAAAGCCCCTGGTCGGCCTCGTACAGCTGCACGGCCAGAGCTTTGTACTGAGAGACCAGAGGGGGGTCCTGTGGGGACGTTGCTCCCTCCGCGGTGTATTCCAGATCGAACCACTTCCCCCCGGGTCTGATGAGCAGGATCTTCCTCGGCTGGAACTCAAACACATTCACGTTCTGCTTCTTCTTCCTGCCTTCTTTTGCCTTCTTCTCTTTCTTTATGGTTTCCACTTTGGGCGAAGCGCTGGATGTTTGTTCCTTCGCTGCAGCGGCTTCCTTCTCTCTGGCCTTGTTACCCTCTTTTATCCCTTTAATCACTTTACTCTCTGTACCCTCTCTACCCTCTGTACTCTCTGTACCCTCTCTACCCTCTGTACTCTCTGTACCCTCTCTACCCTCTGTACCCTCTCTACTCTCTGTACCCTCCGTCTCCTCAGCGGTTTCCTCCGGCTCGTCGGGGATGATCTGCAGTCCGTCGATGGATCGGATACCCAGTTTTTTGATGAACTTCTCGAGCTCGCCTTCCTCCAGGTCGTCGATCGCTCCTTTCTTTCCTCCGTCCACCAGCTCGTTTTCATCGTTCAGGCCGGCGAGCAGGACGTAGTCGGCCTAAAGAAGAAGAAATACACATCGTCATGAATACAGTATAAATCAGTAGTAATAATGAATAATAGTAATTCATTACATTTTTTTATAAGAGCAGTTTTTCAAGTGATCAAAGTGCTTTACAATCACATATTGGACATGTAACAGTCAGTAGTGTAGTAGTGAAACATATTGTGTTAAACACAGCAGTGTATTATTTACTTAGTTAATGGACTTCTCGTTTCCTCTGTAAACACAGGTTTGGTGTGAAAAAATGACCGTAAGCTGTCAGATAAACATTGTGCATAGTATGCTGAAGCATAGCATGGAAATACTCAAGAAGTACCTCAAAGATGTACTTCAGTAACATGTAAGTATTTGAGTAAATGTAATTTTAACCACTTTTTACAACATATTAAGGTGTTTTCCTGATAAATTCACCCGAGTTCCTCCAAGCCAATCCTCCAGTCACTATTTATTTAATTGTATTGTTCTCATCATACCTTTGACCCCCTTGTGTCCCTTGAATTTTGACATTATACTTTTATGCATGTAAAGGGTTTGACATGAAGTGAATTTGCTTTAATTTGTGATGTATGCCATGTTTTTTAAAGCACTTTGAGCTGAACCTGGTGTATGAGAACTGCTATACAAATACAGCTTTATTATTATTATGACTGTTATTTACAAGATATTGAGGTTTGTATTCCTGGTAAACTCACCTGTGTTCCTCCCAGCCGGAGAACATCATCCAGGTTAAACTCTTCTTCCTCTCCTTTCTTGCCCTTGTCTTTACGTCCATCCTCCGCAGGATCTTCCCCCTCCTCCCCGCCGCTGTTTTCGGCCTCCATGTCATCTTTTGCCGGCTGAAAAGACACTTTGGACTTTTTACGTTGCTTGTTTTTCGCCGCCATGCTTGCTTGCTACAGCATGAGGAGAACGTGACCCGGATGTGGAAGGTGACGTCATGGCGAGTGTTTCCGGGAGGTTTCCTTTTTTTAAATGTTATTAATTATATTTATTAAATAAAGTAGAATAAAAACATGTGAGTGGTCATTAATGTGCCTTTAAAATAAATAAATAATAACAAATAATAATTCCCGAGTCAATCTAAATGTTTTCTTTCACCTACGTCACAGCCGTTCGTCCAATCAGGGAGTTTGTCCTTCGCTTAACTGAAAATGTCCTTTCAAAATAAAATAATAAACGCAAAAGAGGGGTTACAGTTTCTTTTTTCAACCTTATATTATTATAGTGACAGAACATTTTATGTAAGACTGTAAAATGCATTTGTTTTAAGGACCAAAAAACACTCTGAAAAAGAAAAGAGCAACATTTTTACTGAGAAAGCATTTTATTGTGAAATGTTAGCCGGATGTTCTTTATTTCATTGCTGTTTACTACGTTAGCATTTCGCTTTTTTGAAGGACTTTGTAGCTTTTAGCTTCTCTGCAGACATGTGGTTTGAACTGCATTATAATAACACTGTTCTCGTTAGATAATGCAACCATGACAGCTATTATATAACACATATTGTAAAGTAGTAAACCCAGTTGTGTTAATATGATCATAAACAGCAGAATGAGGGCTTGTTTTGGTGTCAAAACTCAGCAGTTGATCAGCAGAGTCTTCAGGCATCCTGTCCATCCTTCAGCAGCAGGTGAGTGCATTGAGCTAATATATATATATATATATACTATCTATTTTAACAGGACTTAATTCAGAATAATGCACACAAACCAATTTAATTATTGTTATGGGGACTCGTGTGCAAAACTACTGAATCAAAAAATGTTGGATTCAAAAATAATAATATAATATGTTGTTGTATGTATGTAATTAAATTAATACGTGTGAAAATAAATAATAACATAAATAAATTCAAAAACTAATAATTCCCCATCTTTAATAAATTGTAGAAAAATAAATATTTATTATTTAAAAAACGATATATTTTACATGTTTTTGTTTGACAGTGCAATGGCGATTGGCTCAGAGCAGACTACTCTCAGCAGGTGAATCTAAGCCCCGCCCCTCCATGCTGAAACACCTAACCTTCAAAATAAAAGCCACAGGTCCCATCACAGTGGCGGAGTACATGAGAGAGGTGCTCACCAACCCAGTGACGGTGAGCGATAATCAGTCATCCTGAAATCTGTCAGAGCAGCTCCACAGATCCTGGATCAGTCGAGGAAAACAGTCTGTTTGATATTTAGATGCTTTTATTGTGAAAAAGTGAACTTTTATTTTGATAAATAAACGTTTTATTACTTATTTACACACTCTAATCTCTAAATATTTAATTGTAAGACATAGCAATCTGACACAAATCAGAATTGAATGATTTAATGATTGTATTTAATATTGATGTGAATGTAGTAAATAAAATACAATTCAAGGGCTCAGAAAGTCCACAGATTAAAGCTGCAACATTAGGTGTTTTCACACCGGAGTACTTTTCCTAGGAATAGTTCCGATAGTTCCTAGGATTTGCGTTCACACACCAAAAAGATCTGGAACTAGAACTTTCTTTCGGGAACCTTTTCACCTCTTTTCAGTCCCTGCTAGAGAGCAGGGACTGAAAAGGGAGAAAAAGGTTCCAATTTCTGATGGCTGGGCAAATTGCAAACCACGGCCCGTAAAACTCCTAAAAAAAAATTGCCATTTTATTTGCTCGCATTATTAGCATTAGCATTAGCCCAGCGCACAAACGGAGAGAGACTAACTTATGGCAACACAAAATAAAACGTGGGAGATGAGGAGGTGTCGGCGCTTCTGACGATTTACTCGGGACTTCGGGTGGCAGTATACGCTGTGAAGTTGTTTGCGGGCTGCCAGTAAACCCAAAGCAGAAGAAGAAGAAGTGACGTCAGCGGCTTCATTTGCCCAATCCTCCCTCAGGGTCTTATTCCGGTGTGAACGCGATCTACTAGATAGCTCAGGAACTAAAGATTATAGGCGCTTTCACACCAAGTACTTTTCCCAGAAATAGTTCCCGGAACTCTTTAACTATCTAATAGATCGCGTTCACACCGGAATAAGTCCCTGGGGGAGGATTAGGCAAATGAAGACACTGACGTCACTTCTTCTTCTTCTGCTTTGGGTTTACTGGCAGGCCGCAAACCACTTCACGGCGTATACTGCCACCCGAAGTCCCCGGAGCTGGGTACTGGCTTCAGTAGAAGCAGCTGGGACTCCCAGCAGCTTCTACTGAAGCCTTCCGAGTAAATCGCCAGAACACCGACACCTCCTCATCTCCACCGCTCCCATGTTTTCTTTTGGGTTGCCATAAGTTATTCTCTCTCCGTTGGTGCGCTGGGCTAATGCTAATAATGCTAATGCGATCAAATAAAATGGCGGCTTCACAAAACTTTTCTGAGTTTTACGGGGCGTGGTTTGCAATTCGCCCAGCCAATCAGAAATTGGAACCTTTTCCTCCCCAGGAAAGTACCACCTCTCTTGCAGGGACTAAAAAGGGGTAAAAAGGTTCTGATGAACTAAGTTCTAGTTCCAGATCTTTTTGGTGTGAATGCAAAATCCCAGGAACTATCGGAACTCCTGGGAAAAGTACTCCGGTGTGAAAGCGCCTAATAAGTGGATTTATCTAATCTAAATAATTAGAAGATAATTAATTGGCATCAATTAAAATAATTAATGATAAATAACTGATAAAATCATTATCGTTTTTTTCTTTCAGGGTTATTATGTGAGGAACAACATGCTGGGACCTGACGGAGATTTCATTACTTCACCAGAAATCAGCCAGATTTTTGGAGAGGTGAGGCGGAAAGAAATCCACATTAACAGGAAACACAAGTCTGTTGTCTTTTACAGGAAATAATTTGAGATTATATGTTTTATTGGCATTTATACAACATTATATTATAATACTTTAACCCAACGAATCTCCTCTATAGCTATGTTTTTTCCAAATATATATTGTTAACAGTCTGTTTACTCCACATTACTATTTCAGTCAGACAACTCACGTGTTTCTTAATATGTTTATTTTAGCTGGGTGGAAGCTGGGGTGGAAGCTGGTGGTGGTGGGGTGGAAGCTGGGTGGAAGCTGGGGTGGAAGCTGGGGTGGAAGCTGGGTGGAAGCTGGGGTGGTGGGGTGGAAGCTGGGGTGGTGGGGTGGAAGCTGGGTGGAAGCTGGGGTGGAAGCTGGGGTGGAAGCTGGGTGGAAGCTGGGGTGGAAGCTGGTGGTGGTGGGGTGGAAGCTGGGTGGAAGCTGGGTGGAAGCTGGGGTGGAAGCTGGGTGGAAGCTGGGGTGGAAGCTGGGGTGGAAGCTGGGTGGAAGCTGGGGTGGAAGCTGGGGTGGAAGCTGGGGTGGAAGCTGGGTGGAAGCTGGGGTGGGTGGAAGCTGGTGGTGGTGGGGTGGAAGCTGGTGGTGGTGGGGTGGAAGCTGGGGTGGAAGCTGGGGTGGAAGCTGGGGTGGAAGCTGGGTGGAAGCTGGGTGGAAGCTGGGGTGGAAGCTGGGTGGAAGCTGGGGTGGAAGCTGGGTGGAAGCTGGGGTGGAAGCTGGGGTGGAAGCTGGGTGGAAGCTGGGTGGAAGCTGGGGTGGAAGCTGGGGTGGTGGTGGGGTGGAAGCTGGGTGGAAGCTGGGTGGAATCTGGGTGGAAGCTGGGGTGGAAGCTGGGTGGAAGCTGGGGTGGAAGCTGGGGTGGTGGTGGGGTGGAAGCTGGGGTGGAAGCTGGGTGGAAGCTGGGTGGAAGCTGGAGTGGAAGCTGGGTGGAAGCTGGGGTGGGTGGAAGCTGGGGTGGGTGGAATCTGGGGTGGAAGCTGGTGGTGGTGGGGTGGAAGCTGGTGGTGGTGGGGTGGAAGCTGGTGGTGGTGGGGTGGAAGCTGGGGTGGAAGCTGGGTGGAAGCTGGGGTGGAAGCTGGGTGGAAGCTGGGTGGAAGCTGGGGTGGAAGCTGGGGTGGTGGTGGGGTGGAAGCTGGGTGGAAGCTGGGGTGGAAGCTGGGGTGGTAGCTGGGGTGGAAGCTGGGGTGGAAGCTGGGGTGGTGGTGGGGTGGAAGCTGGGGTGGAAGCTGGGGTGGAAGCTGGGGTGGAAGAGCGGCATGTTTAGGAGAATGTGTTTGGTTGGTTGTAATAGGGACGAGGTGCGTCACGTGTTAATGTATCATTGGTGCTCGAGTTGACTGCCTGAACTAGCTCGCAGGCTTCGCCCCATTAGCTCAACACAGTTGTTAAATATCAGTTTAAAAATCAGTTTCAATATGAAAAACCTGGACAACTTTAAAATGAATGTTTTCATACCTGAAAATGTACCAAAAATGTAATATTTGTACGTCTCTCAGCGGAAAGGCTGATAAGTAACATCTAATTTCTCCTCAGTTAAATAATAAAACATATTAAAGCTTCTCCTTGTGGTGTTTTTAATGTGTGTTGTGTTTCCAGCTGCTCGGTGTGTGGATCCTCAGCGAGTGGATGGGAGCCGGTCGACCCAAACATCTGCAGCTGGTCGAGCTCGGACCTGGAAAAGGATCGTTAGCCAGCGACATCCTCAGAGTATGAACTTTATTTGGTATTGCAATATATTGTAAAGGACATGTCCTCAATGTTAGTAAAGACTTCAGGAAGTTACTGCTACCAACCAAGGACTCATTTGGCACATAACCCCCTGTAAAACAGATAAAACGTGTTAATTAATGAACTTTTAAAGGTGCTTGTAGGTGGATTTTGTACCCTTACCCTCTGCTTCTTTATGCTAAGCTAAGCTAACCAGAGTGGTGCTGTATCTTCTCGTCTAATTCTTGATAAGAGATAATATCTGATTATTTAATTAGCAGTTTATTTACAGTTTGTGCTGATGTGAAAAGTTTTACTCCCAACAGAGGGCGCTATAACCCTGCGTGTGTTCTTGTATATGTGCCTTTGTGAGGACCTTTACAGTTACCTGGTCTTCACGTTTACAAAGGCTGCCTAACCTTAAAGTGAAAAACAATATTTATTAAGGTTTAAG